TTTAAATTGTTTACTCTTGTGAATAAAAGCAACGTTTACTTTTTTCTAATGTCTTGCTGCCTTTCAAATCAACTTACGCCAACCCGCTTGCCCCAGATTAGCAAACATCCAAACATCTGCCTTTACAAAGATGCAAACACGGTTCTGATGGATGAAACTTTCAAACACCAGTGAAAGCAGTCAGGGTGTACTTAGATTTTCCACATTGCAGCGCCTCCATTACTGCTCCATCTGTGACTCAGTGAATAATGGCTGGATGGAGTCTGTGGTTTTTTTTAACTCTGTAGATGGAGGAAAGAGTAAAGGGAAGTTCTGATAAATATTCAGCCTCAGATTATTCGAAAAGCATCTTTTTCCGCAGTGATAATCCTAATATGCAGCAGATTAAATACTGAATACTGAATTTTATCAAGCTTTTCCTGTTTAAACCTACCTTCAATGACCAGCAGAGGGCAGCAAAGAGCTGTTAAATTTTTTAATAATATTTCCAATTAAAAGATCTTTAGAAACTTTGCCTTTTTTGGGGGGATTTTAATTTCTAAAAACCTAAAAAATATACTTTAAGCCAGAGTTTTGATTCCCTTAAATGTTTTGCGTTTAATTTACAGTCTAGAATCCTGACAAAGCAGGACATTAACATGTCTAAAGTTTGTTTTGATTTAATTAAGCGTTGAGTTTTGGTCCAGCAGGAACAGACCAGGAGCCGAGAGTCGACTTCAGGATGGACGAGAGCTCTGATGTCCCCATCCTGGAGGACAGATCCTCGTCTCCCATCGATTACCCTCAGGAGGCGTGGCTGGTGGGAATCGACATTGAGAACATAGAAAGGTGCCTTTTCTGGCCCTTTGCTTTTTCTTCATCTATATATTTTTTTTACAGTGTGAATCATTCTGTTTCGTGTCATATTTCATTACTTCTGCAGAGACATGAAAGAGATGCGAAACCTACTCAGCAAACTCAGGGAGACGATGCCATTGCCGCTGAAAAACCAAGGTGTGTTCTGCATGGAGCCTGCAGCCATCATGAGCTTCATCGAGAGATAAAGGATCTTTGCTTCCAGTGTGGATGTTTTCTATCTGATACTTTGACATGTGAAAATCACATCTACCACATGTAAAACCAGTGGTGTCAAAAGTTCACACATTTGTTACCTAAGTAGAAGTATACACTCACCGGCCACTTTATTAGGTA